TGTTGTTTACCTTGACTTCCAGAAAGCTTTTGATAAAGTTCCTTATCAAAGGCTCCTAAGTAAGCTCAATAGTCACGGGATAAAAGGACAAGTCCTTTTGTGGATCAAAAGCCAGCTAATTTATAGGGGAGAGAGAGTGAGTATAAGTGGGCAATTTTCTCAGTGGAAGGTGGTAAGCAGTGGGGTACCGCAGGGATCAGTACTGGGTCCAATGCTTTTTAACTTGCTCATTAATGATTTTGAGTTGGGAGTAAGCAGTGAAATAGCTCAATTTGAGAATGACACGAAATTGTTCGGGGTGGTGAAAACCAGGGAGGATTGTGAGGCACTCCAGAGGGATCTGTCGAGGATGGGCGAGTGGGCACCAACATGGCAAATGGGGTTCAATGTGGCCAAGTGCAAAGTGATGCACATTGGAGCCTAAAATCCTAACTATCAATGCACGTTGATGGGGTCCGAACTGGGAGAGACTGACCAAGAGAGAGGGCTTGGAGTCGTAGTAGTAGATAACTCACTGAAAATGTCAAGACAGTGGGTGGCTGCAATAGAAAATGCCAGTGGTATGCTCGGATTATAAGGAAGGGAATTGAAAACAAATCAGCCAGTATCATAATGCCCCTCTATAAATCAATGGTGCAACCTCATTTGGAATACTATATGCAGTTCTGGTCAGCTCAAAAAGGTCACCTCAAAAAGGATATTATAGCATTGGAAAGAGTTCAGAAAAGGGCAACTAGAATAATAAAAGGCTTGGGACACTTTCCCTATTAAAAAACATTAAAGCGCTTGAGGCTCTTTAGCTTGGAAAAATGATGATTGAGGGATGACATGAAAAAGGCTTATAAGATTATGCATGGGACAGAGCAGGTAGAGAAAGAAGTCCTTTTCTCCCTTTCTCACAATACAAGAACCAAAAGAGTGATTAACACATGGAATTCACTGCCACAGCAGGTAGCGGCGGCTACAAGCATGGATGGCTTCAAGAGGGAATTAGATAAACCTATGGAGCAGAGGTCCATCAGTGGTTATTAGCCACAAGGGAACTCCCACTCTGGGGCAAGTGATGCTCTGTATTCTTGGTGCTTGGGGGGGGGCAACAGTGGGAGGGCTCCTAGTGTCCTGACCCTACTGGTGGACCTCCTGATGGCACCTGGTATTTTTGGCCACTGTGTGACAGTGTTGGACTGGATGGGCCTTTGGCCTGATCCAACATTGGCGTCTCTTATGTTCTTGTGGTATGATTCTCAGGTGTCACAGACAAACTCCGTTTGGGGGTAATATCTGAGTGCTCATGGTTAGCTAGCCAATCTCCCCCCCCCCAAAAAAAATGGGAGAGTTCTGGCCAAAATTAATTCCCCATATAGAAGAATAAAGAAAAATTGAAGCAATGAAGACTTTTAATATTCTATTTAAAAATAGCAGGAAAGAGAGAACAGGCATGAAGAGAAAAATAAAAGCCGTCTCCCTTAGGCACTCATTTGGAGGGAAGCTCTCTGCCTCCCTCCAGAATTGACCCCCCCCTTTGTACACTTTGACCCCCCCCCTTTGTAAACTAAAGTCCGTGCAAGATCTCCAATCACCAAGAATCGTTTTGGCTTCTGAGATCGTAAATGTTGCAGGAACAACCCAGCACGGCCAGACTGTCTGCTACTGAAAAGAGGCACCGAGAGCTGACATTGATAGCTGACTCCAAGAAGCCCTGCTCTTGAACAACAACACCGATAGCTGTTTCCCACAAAGCACAGTCCACGGGCTAGCCAGTCCACAGAGAAGCTAAAGAAGGGTGTCAGAATGTGCAGATTTCCAAAGGCTCTCCGTGTTTATTTATTAAATATTAATATCCAGATTTCTTCCTGGTTGAAGAATGATAGTTTGGCATCCTCAACGAAAACCAAGAATGATAGTTAAACATCCTCAACGAAAACCAAGATCAAACAAGAAGCCCCAAATCCCTCCCCCCTCCCCTCTTAAAAGACACCTGCTATTCAGCCCCCCTCAAAACCCCGGCAATGAACAGACTGGGATCACGGTCACACAAGGATACAGAGAAATGACAACACCGTGTACAAAATAACAACTAGTACAAGTAAAGATTTTTCAAAGACTATGTGTAAATATTGTACTGAATAAAGTATATACTAGGTTTATGTCTCCGTATTACAATATCAATATGAGCAAATACACAACACTCTAATACAGGGATGTCTAACTCATTCGTTACAAGGGCCGGATCTGACATAAATGGGACTTTGTGGGGCCAGGCAATGCATGTCATAACATGTAATGCCAGGTAGCGAAGGTCTCTTTATAAAAGATACAAACACAATTAAAGATATAACTTTTTTACTTAAAATACAAATATGTTTAAAACTCTTGTGATAAATTTAACAATCTTTGATAACTGACACCTCCCAAACCTCCCCCTCCCCTTAAAAGATGCCTGCCTAAAATGGAACGGTGGGGGAATAGTGGGATTTGGCAATGCAATCTTAAAAAATAAAACACTAAGAAAAAGCTCAGGGATCACAGCAGAAAATAAAAATATAGAATGCTCTGAGCACTGCAAACCTCTCCTCTCCCCCCCAGGAATACTCAGCATGGCAGTGGCTCTCCAGTGTAATGTCCCCCTTTGGCTGTGGGTTCCCAGGTTAGAGTACTCATTCAGGCACCTGTTCTCAGGTACATTCAGCAGGGACAAGCTGGCTCAAAACATCAACCCTGTATTTGCAAAGAGACAACTCCATCAAGCAACAGCTTCAACAATACAAACACTGGAAAGTGAAACTACTTGAGCTCCACTCCACTGAAATACATTGCAGCACAAAGTTGCAAAGAAAATGCGGAATGGATTTCCCATTAAGGTCTCTGGGCCCAAAGAGACTACTCTGGGACTGCAATGACAGCCACCAGAATGAAATGACAGTCCCTTGGATTACCAGAAGCATTCTGGGATTGGAATGAGGGCTTCCAGAGTGGAATTCCATTCCCAGAATGCTGCTGCTACTCCCAGGGGCTGTCATTCCACTCTGCACACTGTCATTCCAGTCCCAGAATACAGATTCTATTGCTAGGGACCATCATTCTACTCTGGAGGCTGTCATTTGAGTCTCAGAGGACGTCTGTTTCTATTGCGGGAAACAGTCCCAGAGCAGTCTATCTGGGTTCAGAGACCTTAAAGAAAAAATTCCATTCCATATTTTCTTTGTGAATTAGCAAGGTCAGAAGAGCTTCCTGCCGAAGCAGACAAAGACAAGATGGATGGAGCTGGGAACTTCGGCAGCCTCAAGCTTCAAAGGGTGAGGACAGGAGGAGGTAAGAAAAGAGTTGCGGGCCTGATTAAAGCCATGGGCGGTGCTTCTGGCCCGTGGGCCTTAGGTTTGGCACCACTGCTCTAATACTTCATACAAACAATCCAACACAGAAATGAGTCCATCTCGAAAAGATTCAAACACAAAGTCCCACATAATTATTCTGATATCCAAAGGAGGATAATCCATTAGTACAGATTTCATTAAGTTCCAAACTTCTCCAAAAGGATCCTCCTATCACCTCCTGAATCAGGATGTGTCTCTCATGTGTTTTCAAATTGGGTATAGTGTTCCTACTCGATTACTCTACGAATTCTCAGAAATAGTCCTCAATTCCACAGGTGTTTCCAATGAACCAACACAGAAGAAGTCTATCTAAAAGTGACACACACCACTTTATATACACACACAGAATCAGCTGATAGATAATGTCTACCAAAGCATACCTCATGGTACCACTTGCAGAGATACAATCTATAGGAAAAATGTTTACAATAAAACATATATCATGGAACTCCAAAAAAAAAGACAGTCATCATAAAACTGAAGATCTGTAAAAATATCTCAGAGATGAACTTGATTGATCCAATCTGCAATCCTCACCAAACCAGTTGCTTGGTGGTATAGTTTGTTAGGTACTGCTAAGCCTCCTGTTATTTCTCATTCTGTAAAACTTTAAATCTAATTCTTAGTTGTTTGCCATTCCATATGAATGTATTCATTTGTTTCTGCCAGTCCTTTGTATATTGTATTGTATACACAGTCTTTGTATATTGATTGGTATCAACTGAAACAGAAAATTAATTTGGACAAACCACTCACTTTTACTGCAGGGATTCTTTCCAGCCACGATAATTTTAGTTTGCCCAATCTTTCCAAAGCTTTTTGTATCTTCACCCAAACAAACATGGGCTTGCTTGAGGCTTTTGGTGCTTGGAGGGGGCAATACTGGGAGGGCTTCTGGAGTTCTGGCCCCACTGGTGGACCTCCTGATGGCACCTGGTATTTTTGGCCACTGTGTGACAGAGTGTTGGACTGGGTCAGCCTTTGGCCTGATCCAACGTTGGTTTCTCTTATGTTCTCTTATGTTCCTCTATAAATTGAGCTATTAAATTTTATGTGTTGGAGTCTGAAGGCTGGAAAGGCAAGGCACACTCTCTGCTTCTCTGATGGGTTGCTGTGTTAGTTTGTAGAAGCAGAGCAGAATTCAAGTCCAGGAGGTAATTCAAGACCATGTAAATTAAGCTCTCATGAATTAAAGCTTACTTTCTCAGATAGGCGGGCTATCTGACTCAGAAGGAGGGAAGGGGGTTGCCAAAAAGGGCCATATGGAATGAGGAGTCTGGCTAGAAGGGCAAGACATGCTCCTTGCCTCTCTGGTGGGTTGCCGTATTCGTCTGTAGAAGAAGAGCACAATTCAAGTCCAGTAGCTCCTTCATGACTACCTGAAAGAGGGGTTGCCAAAAACAGCCATATGGAGTCAGGATGCAGAGGTGCCATAAGGTTTGATGGATCTTTGTTCTCATTTCTGGTTGTCAAAATGAGCTTCTGCCGAGAGAAATGTCCTTGTTCTTTCAGATGCTACCCCTCCCTCCACCTTCCTATCTCCTTTCGGAAGTCCTTTTGCCCTATTAGGGTGTTGAGAATGGAGCTGGGTCCACTTGGAAGCAAAGAGGGACACACGGCCTTCATTCATTCTGCTGGGCCCGTGTGGGTTCTTTGATGCTTTTGAAGAGTAGCATTCCGAATGAATCCCTTTCCACACTCTGAGCATTCAAAAGGTTTCTCCCCTGTGTGGGTTCTTTGGTGCACTTGAAGAGTGGAATTCCGAATGAATCTCTTTCTACAAACTGAGCATTCAAAAGGTTTCTCCCCTGTGTGGGTTCTTTGGTGCACTTGAAGAGTGGTATTCCGAATGAATCGCTTTCCACACTCTGAGCATTCAAAAGGTTTCTCCCCTGTGTGGGTTTTTTGATGATACTGAAGAGCACCATGCTGATGGAATCTCTTTCCACACTCTGAGCATTCAAAAGGTTTCTCCCCTGTGTGGGTTCTTTGGTGCAGTTGAAGACAGAAATTCTGTCTGAATCTCTTTCCACACTCTGAGCATTCAAAAGGTTTCTCCCCTGAGTGGGTTCTTTGGTGCTTTTGAAGACTGCCACTCGTACTGAATCCCTTTCCACACTCTGAGCATTCAAAAGGTTTCTCACCTGAGTGGGTTCTTTGGTGCTTTTGAAGACTGCCACTTGTACTGAATCTCTTTCCACACTCTGAGCATTCAAAAGGTTTCTCCCCGGTGTGGCTTCTTTGGTGCAGTTGAAGAGTGGCATTTTGAATGAATCTCTTTCCACACTCTGAACATTCAAAAAGTTTCTCGCCTGTGTGTTTTTTTTGGTGCACCTGAAGACTGGAACTCCGACTGAATCTCTTTCCACACTCTGAGCAACAAAAAGGTTTCTCCCCTGTGTGGGTTCTTTGATGGTTTTGAAGACTGAAACGCCGAATGAATCTCTTTCCACACTCTGAGCATTCAAAAGGTTTCTCTCCTGTATGGGTTTTTTGATGATATTGAAGACTGGAACTCAGACGGAATCTCCTACCACACTCTGAGCATTCAAAAGGTTTCTCCCCTGTGTGGGTTCCTTGATGCTTTTGAAGATTGTAACTTGTACTCAATCTCTTTCCACACTCTGAGCATTCAAAAGGTTTCTCCCCTGTGTGGGTTCTTTGGTGTTGTTGAAGAATGAAACGCCAACTGAATCTCTTTCCACACTCTGAGCATTCAAAAGGTTTCTCCCCTGTGTGGGTTCTCTGATGATATTGAAGACTTCTATGCTGATAGAATCTCTTTCCACACTCCAAGCATTCAAAAGGTTTCTCCCCTGTGTGGGTTCTTCGGTGCACTTGAAGATCGTCACTCCTACTGAATCTCCTTCCACACTCTGAGCATTCAAAAGGTTTCTCCCCTGTGTGGGTTCTTCGGTGTTGTTGAAGACTTCTATGCTGATGGAATCTCTTTCCACACTCTGAGCATTCAAAAGGTTTCTCCCCTGTGTGGGTTCTTCGGTGTTGTTGAAGACTTCTATGCTGATGGAATCTCTTTCCACACTCTGAGCATTCAAAAGGTTTCTCCCCTGTGTGGGTTCTGTGGTGTTGTTGAAGACTGAAACGCCGACTGAATCTCTTTCCACACTGTGAGCATTCAAAAGGTTTCTCTCCTGTGTGGGTTCTTTGATGCTTTTGAAGACTGCAGCTCTGAGAGAATCTCTTCCCACACTCTGAGCATTCAAAAGGTTTCTCCCCTGTGTGGATTCTTTGGTGCCTTTGAAGGTGGCCACTCTGCCTGAATCTCTTTCCACACTCTGAGCATTCAAAAGGTTTCTCCCCTGTGTGGATTCTTTGGTGCCTTTGAAGGTGGCCACTCTGCCTGAATCTCTTTCCACACTCTGAGCATTCAAAAGGTTTCTCCCCTGTGTGGATTCTTTGGTGCCTTTGAAGGTGGCCACTCTGCCTGAATCTCTTTCCACACTCTGAGCATTCAAAAGGTTTCTCCCCTGAGTGGGTTCTTCGGTGCTTTTGTAGACTGGAATTCATCCTGAAATTCTTTCCACATTCAGAGCATTCAAAAAGCTTCTGTGCTGCGTGTATTTTTTGGTGTACAAGAAGCTGTGTTCGGTATTTGAAGTACTTTCCACAGTAACAGCATTTACATGCCTTCATTATAATGTCATTTGGAAAAAACACATTACCCTTTGTTCCACTGGAGAACCTCATTCCACTTGTGGAGCAGATACATGACTTCACTCCTAAATGAGTACATTGGAGACAGCTGTGGACTGGGATTTCATGGAAGTTTTCTTCGTGGGAAGGAATAGACTCAGCCCCCCTCTTCACCGTACCAGTTACTTCCTGCCTCTCTGGTCCATCTCTATTCCCAAAGATTCCTTTGGCCTGTTCATTCTTGGCTTTTTCCAGTGACAATACCTGAAATTCCCCAAGTGACTCTTCGACGTCTCCTGCTGGAATAAAGAAGGAAGTCGAATCACCACTCACACAAGGAGCCAAGCCACCAATCAGGAACTCCTGATTAATGAGTGTGCATTTTATAATCTGAGCTGCTGGTCAGACGTTTTCCCTAGCCAGCCCTCCGGTAGAGCTTTTTCTGCATTCTGACTATCCCTCCCCTCCTCGTAACTCCCCAACTGTATTTTAAGGGGAAAGGTGCCAAAAATCTATTGCTCTGCCTTTCCTGTTTGCCTTGCTATGCAGGTTTTTTTATGATAAAATACAAAAAGTGATTGTTATTTCTAGTCCTGGGATTCTCCAGAACTTCCGTCCAGGTGTGATGAGGCAGAAGAGGAGCTGGTCTTCGGACTCGGATAACACGTGTCTGCTGGGATAGGGGGGAAGTCAGGAACTCACCAAGCAATCCTCATAGTTCTAAGGGAAATCCCATAAGAATACCTGCTGTTGGGGGAGGGAGGGAGGCCTGGAGACATTCAACTGACCAGGGTATGAAAAGGCTGATGGGCGTCTGACTCATCGAGCAAAGCTTTTCTCAAGTAAATACCTAATCTTTCCCTGGAATATCCAGTATTTAAGGACCCAGCAGCCCCTAAAGGGACCAGTTTGGTGTAGTGGTGAGGAGTGCAGACTCTAATCTGGGAGAACCGGGTTTGGTTCCCCACTTCTCCACATGCAGCTGCTGGTATGGCCTTGGGTCAGTCACAAGTTCTTTCAGAGCAGTTCTCTCAAGGACAGTTCTTTAGAGAGCTCTCTCAGCCCCACCCACCTCATAGCGTGTCTGTTGTGGGGAGGGAAAGGGAAGCGAATTGTAAGCCACTCTGAGATTGAGCAGATAGTGAAGGACGGGGTATAAATCCAATCTCCTCTTCTTCTAAAAGAGCCACAACTGAGCTCAGCCCCAGGAAGAATTCCCAAGATCTCAGGCCCCAAAAGGCCTCCCTCCCTCCCTCCTTACCCAGAGAGCGTTATCATTCTACCCAACCAAGTGTTGCTAAGAAGTGAAGCAGAAATCCGTCATGGCTATTCTTTGCCCATTCTCTTGACATAATGATAATGAAGTAGACTCACTCGCAGCCAACTCACTTGGAAAGAAAATATTCTGCTGAGATCCTCTTGAGAAACTCTCCAGCCCTTCGTCTGTCTTCACTGCAGTGTCTCGCACATCCGTGCCTTCTTTGGGAGAGAGAGAGAGAAATGAGGAGGACGAGTGACCCAAGGCATTTCTCTGTCTCCACCTCAGGCCATTACACCCACCCTGCCTCTCACGCTGGCCACAGCATTGGCTGCAGTTGCTTTTGGACCAGCCAGGTGTGTCGGGTGTTTTCATTGCCACCTCAGCTCCTGGAGTCGTCCAATGTGGCCATTGAATTCACTGCCACAAAAGGTGGTGGCAGCTACAAGCATGGACGGCTTCAAGAGGGAATTAGATAAACTGTCACATGAACCGGATGACCCCTCATCGCTGTCGTTGGTTCCCTGCTGCTCCGACCTATACGCAACCTGCCACCCGAGGAGTGGAAGGGGGGAACCACAGAGGTCTCAGACTGTCGGGAGGGAAGACGATTACGTCACCACCCTCCGCTCTCCCTTGGCATATTCAGACAGCTCATTCTCTCTCTCCTGCCCTTAGTGCCGCCAGTGCCGTCTCGTCCTCCCCGGCCTCTGTTTCTGTTCTCCCTTTTAATCCTGCTCCATGACACCTGCTCTGCCCTGTGTCTGCCCTCCACCCACCACTTCTGCCCTGCCCTCTCTTCTTAGGCCAGAACGCTGAGCTAAGGGTGCGGTCTCCTTCCAGCTCCCTCCCTCCGGCCCTAGCAGCTGCGCCAGCCCCGCGTCTTTCTCCCTCCAGCAACTCGGGGCTGAGGGCATGCCCTCGCGCAGCCCAGCGCAGTCCCCTCCAACCGTCCCGGGACATCTCCCTTTGGAGCCGGACTTCCATTACTGGTAGCACTGCCCGGCCGCCTCGGAGGCATCTCGTCGGGTCCCGGGGAAGGTGGTGACAGCGCGCCTGATCGGCTCCAAACTCTGGTAGGTGCCGTTGTGGTCGGGGCTGGGGTGGTCGACGGCTCCTGAGTGGCGGCGGCCAGCCCTGGGGAGGCTCGCCCTCGGGACACAAACTTATGGAGCAGAGGTCCATCAGTGACTATCAGCCACAATGTATAGATAGGAACTCTCAGTCTGGGGCAAGTGATACATTGTGTTCTTGGTGCTTGGGGAGGGGGGTAACAGTGGGAGGGCTTCTAGTGTCCTGGCCCCACTGCTGGAACTCCTGATGGCACCTGGTGTTTCTGGCCATTGTGTGACAGAGTGTTGGACTGGATGGGCCATTGCCCTGATCCAACATTGGCTTCTCTTATGTTCTTACTAGCAGTAAAGCTCGTTGTAAAAGCAATACAACGAGCTCTAGAAAGATATTTCTGCTTTGCAGCATGCCTCAGGTTTTTGGCTTCCTGAATTCTGTGTGTCTGGTCCTATCCTCTATCTCTGCTTGTGTGTGTATCCACTTGCTTTTTTGTGCTAACTTGAGTTGGTCCCCCCCCCCGTCCCGTCTCTGCTACACTAACAGCTGTTTACTTGGCGATTTTTATTTCCGTTCTGGAAAGTGTTGCCTCAGCAAACTTGGCTTGGAGGCTAAAGATGGTGGGTTTTGTCCCTTGACGGAAACAATCGTCATCTGGTGAGAAGAACGAAGACAGTAGCTCTGTTCACCGGAGTGACGCAACCATTTTCTGACGAAAGTTTTGGCGGGCATCGCTTCTGTGGGCGGGACTCATGCAACACAGCCAGTGGATAGGGACAGTTTCTGAGTGACATGTCATGGAGCCAACTGATTTAGAGGCGTGTGGAATGTTCAGAAAGTGCCACCCCACTACTCAATTATATATAAGGAGAGATGTGTGTTAAATACAGGGCCAGGCCCCACAATGACATACTACTTTGCGATATTTTGATTCACACATCATTGCAATGGCAGGAATTCACACCTTTGGCACCTAAGAAAGATGCTTACCCAAAGAGGCCACGATCCCATAGTTCTCCAGCATGACTTCCCAGTAGAGCGCTCTTTGGTCCAGATCCAGCAGGGCCCACTCTGCCACAGTGAAATACACGGCCACGTCCTCAAAAGAAGCTGGAAACTGAAAGAAAAAGCAGACTTCCTCATCAGAGATCGTGCCAGGCAAGACTGCACCCAGGAAACGGGAATTCTGGTAGGGTGGAGGACGGAGAGTTTGGCAGGGGGTCAAGGGCGTGGCATTCAGAGGCTCTCTTGCTTGGAGACCTTAGAAGCCACTGCAGGAGCAAAAGCTCCCCTGAGAAAGGAGGGGGAACTCAGGTGGTCCCCTGCTCATCTCCCCTACCTGGATTGCAGGGGCAGCAGCCGTTTCCACTCCTCCACAAAGACGACGACTCAACAGTGTTTCTTCACTGCCTGGGAGGGAGAGAATGTTGGAAGAAAGGGTCTGAGCCTAGACTTCCCATTTTCTTTGCTTGTGCATATCCTGCTTCATGCACCCCGCTCCCAGGGCTGTGAAACCTTGTATTACGTACACTCAACAAAATGTGCAACCATTTTTAGTAAGCTTTAGGAAGAGGAGGAAGGGAAGCACCAGGTACCTATGAGCCTTGGGAGGGTTTCCCCCCAAAAAAACATTATCAACACATTTCAGACTTCTCTGACTCTTGAAATTTATCCTGTGAACTCCAAAGCTCAAACTGATGACAGCATCCCTGCTTGATCAGGCCAAAGGCCCAGGAGCGCCATTCTCCCGCTGGCTGGGCCCTCCCATGTGCCTTTGAGTTCAGGCTTCCGGGAGAGGGGGGGGAGGGAGAAATGAGGTCGAACGATACATCACAGTCACACCTGTCCAAAACCCCAGAGGTGACCTTAGCACACCTGAGAACTCAAGGGTAATATCAAGCGGTTGCCAGAGTGCCTGCTGATGCTCTGATGTCACGTTGAGATTTTCAGCAGATCACTGTGACATCACATCCACCCCTGGCCCCACCTCCAAAGCTCCCAGGGGTGCCAGGTCAACTTTTCATTTTCGAGGTGACCTGAATCAATCTAACAGGTATGTGCGATAGGAATTATTATGATTATGTGCGATAGGAATTATTATTATTATTATTATTAGGTATTTTTAGTAAGTTGTGTGTGTGCGCACCTGGAAGCAGGGCTCTAGTCGGGGGGGAGCTCTCAGGTACGGAGCTCCGGAAGAGAACCTCTAGGGGGCGGGGCGGTCACGTGGTGAAGCCCCGCCGCCTTCTTTACCCCGCCCTCTGCTTCGATCCTCATTCCGTTTGGGAATGAGGATGAAGCAGGAGGGTAAGTAGCCGGGCCTTCTGACACACTTCCGGTGATGTCAGGGGGTGTGGCCTTCTGTCACTTCCGGTGATGTCAGGGGGCGTGGCATATGCAAATAAGTTATGCTAATGAGTTATGCTAATGAGCTCCGTGTTTTGCTACAACAAGACCCCTGCCTGGAAGTAATGGTGACCTCTGGAGAATGACCCTACAGGAGGCTTCCGGGAGAAGGGGGGGGGAGAAATGAGGTCAAACGATGCATCACAATCACACCTGTCCAAAAACCCAGAGGTGACATTAGAGCGTCTGCTGATGTTCTGACGTCTCGTCTAGATCTTTACTCCAAAGCTCCCAGGGGTGCCAGGTCAACTTTTATTTATTTTATTTTTTAGCCCCCCGGAGGGGATTTTTTATTGCATTTTTTAAAATAGACTACAAATTACAACGAAAAATTGGGAAGGGGTGACTACATCTAGGGTGAAGGGAAAGAAAACCAAAACTAACTAAAACCCCAAGTATAGGAGATCATAACAACATCTTATATAAATGTTAATCTTAAATTGCTAGTATTACTTTGAACATAGTCGGCTATGCTGAATTTTTTTATCTTTTTATCCAATGTTTTATTCATTTAAGAGAACCCA